AAGCAACAGCCGAACGCACAACCTTCCTACGTGTTCTGAAATCGCTGTTCTTTTGTCAGAAACGTCCAAGTCAGGGCGTCATATCTTACTGCATGGTATTGATGGCCCCGTACTCAGCGAAGTTCAGCGAAACTATCACGTTGGTAAACATGTGCGTTTGGATCGACAACCTGGGGAACAACGCTTATTTCGCATTAAGGAATTTCATTCGGCATATGACCCGCTTCAATACCCTTTGCTCTTTCCCACTGGGACTTTGGGGTGGTCGTTTGACAACAAGAGCGGTCACAATCATGAAAACGTGAGTTTGAACGATTATGCTCGATACCATTTGCACGAGCGCGGTGCATTCTCTCCATTACATGCCAGCGGACCTCTATTTCAAGTGTTTGCAGTCGACAATTTTGCAAAGGTGGAAAACCAAAGGCTTCGATATATTCGTGACCAAACCAACAACCTCCGCAGCGACACGTACCGCGCACTTCATGACGCTGTTTCGCATGATGTGGACCTCAAAAGCATTGGAAAAAGGACTGTTTTGCCGTCATCTTACACGGGTGGACCTCGGTACATGAGACAACGTTACCTTGACGCCATGGCAATTGTTCGCAAGTTCGGTCGACCAGACCTTTTTATCACTGTGACATGCAATCCAAAGTGGGTTGAAATCGACAGGGAGCTGGAATTGGCGAAAGACGACTATGGATTTAAACGATCTCCAGCTGATCGACCTGACTTAGTGACGCGCATGTTCCGTCTCAAGCTCTTCGCCATTGAAGCCATGCTGTACAAGGGGGAAGTTTTGGGTCGACAAGCTGCGTGTGTTCGTGTTGTCGAATTCCAAAAGCGTGGTCTGCCTCATGCCCATATGTTGGTCATATTCACTGGGGACGACAAAATCAAGACAGCTGCCGATATTGACAGTATTATCAGTGCAGAAATCCCCGACAAGGAAAAGAATCCAAGACTGCACGAAATTGTTACAACCTGCATGATTCACAAATGCAGCGACCGATGCCTGAAAAACGGGAAGTGCAAGAAAAACTTTCCAAAAGCATACTGCAACGAAACATCAGAAGGCAGCGATGGATATCCATTCTACCGTCGTCGCCGCTCTTCGGCAGAGCGGCCCTCTGAGTATACCAACCAATATGTTATTCCGTACTGCCCAACGTTGAGTGCCATGTTCGACTGCCACATCAATGTCGAGGCGTGTACAAGTATATCTGCAGTCAAGTACCTGTACAAGTACATCTACAAGGGCTCAGACCGCTCAAATTTTCAAGTTGAGTCCGGCGAACTTGACGAAATCAAGCAATACCAAGATGCCCGCTATGTATCGTGCTGTGAGGCCCTCACACGCATTTTCTCTTTCGACATGGTCAAACGATCTCACGCTGTCGAGAACCTCGAAATACACTTGGAAGGTGAACAAGTTGTGTGCATTCCTACCGACCGCCCGATGAGCCCTCAGGAATTGGCAAGGAGGAACCGGACGAAACTCACCGCGTTTTTTGAACTGTGCCGTGAAAACAGTAATTCACAAGCACTTGCGCGTGAATGTCTGTACCATGATATCCCCGAGCATTTCGTATGGAACAAAAAGCTCCGCAAGTGGACATCACGTAAAAGGGGTGGTGATCGTATGATCGGGAGGATGTTGACGGTGTCACCCCGCTCGGGAGACTGTTTTTTTATGCGAATGCTCTTATGCTACCGACGAGGTCCGACATCGCACGAAGATTTGCGAACCGTCAATGGTGTGGCTCATCAGACGTTCAAGTCAGCCGCACTTGCCCTTGGCTTTCTTGAAAATGACGAGGAATGGCTAACCTGCATGCGAGAAGCAACTGAAACAGCAACTCCCTATGAGCTCCGAACACTTTTTGTCAGTATTCTGATTCACTGTGAACCTGCGGACGCACGAGGGCTATGGAACAAATTCGAAGATGAAATGAGGCAAGATTTTCACCGCATGTACCCCGACGATTCTCAAAAATCTACAGCTTTCGCAATTCAGGCTTTATCAAGATGCCTCGAGTCGAATGCATCAAGCTTGGATCGTTTTCCGGAGCTTCCACAGCTTGCACATTTCGAACAATATTTTGCTCTTGAGGAAACAAACAGGGGCCGTCAATCCAACCGATTAGTGGCTATGGAATCTTCGCACAACCAAGAACAAATCCAAGGCATTTTGGAAGGCAAGTCTACGATGACCGATGAGCACGAGGTCTTCTACAACGACGTTATGAGCGAGATTACGAAGGAAAGTACTGTTCGAAGAGGCAAAGTATATTTTCTCGAAGGTGAGGGCGGCTCAGGGAAGACGTTCATCTCAAACATTTTACTGGCTCAAGTGCGCTCAATGAACAAAATTGCCTTGGCTGTTGCTTCGTCCGGACTTGCTGCTCTGAATTTGATCGGAGGTACAACTGCGCATTCGAGATTCTGTCTTCCAAGATCATTGCACGAGCTTAGCCGATGTGACGTTCGGAAGCAGTCACATCTTGCGGAACTTTTACGTCTCACAGAACTTATCATTTGGGACGAGTGTTCGATGATGCACAAGTATGCTGTGGAGGCCGTTGATCACATGCTACAAGATTTGATGGACAACGCGCTTCCTTTTGGTGGAAAGGTCGTCATATTCTCGGGCGACTTCAAGCAAATGCTTCCAGTCATTTTGAAGGGCACACCTGGACTAATCCTCGAAGCATGCTTGAAGAACAGCTACCTTTGGAGAAATATCGCACAGTTTCATCTGACGGTGAACATGAGGTTGACCAACAACAACTCAGAGAGTGTTCGAGAGTTTCTGCATTGCTCAAGTCTATTGGTCATGGAACATACCCCACATGTACCGAACTCGGTGCCGATTACATTCGACTACCTGATGATTTGGCGATTCCATACAAGTCGCCTGATGATTTGGGGTCATTTTTAAACAACGTCTATCAAGACATGAACAACCTGCGCATCAATGCACTTAGATCGTACTTTGGATGTCGAGCTATCCTTGCACCCAAACATAGTGTTGTTGCTGACATCAACACAACACTTCTTGAGCGACTCACTTCCGACTGCGAAATGACATATTTGTCCGCCGATTCTGTTGCTGACAAACCCAACTCGGACACAAATGCATGCGAGTTCCCCATCGAGTTTCTGAATTCTATAGACATCAACAACTTCCCCAGCCACAAGTTGCATTTGAAAGTTGGTTGCCCCATTATTCTGCTTCGTAATTTGTGTACTTCGGAAGGCATGTGCAACGGAACACGTTTAATTGTTCTTGAGCTGAAAACACGATGTATCAAGGCTCAAATTATGAACGGCTCCCACACGAACAAGATCGTTTACATTCCCCGAACTACTACAATTCACGATGGTGAGCAAAACAATTACCCATTTGAGCTACGCAGAAGACAATTTCCTGTTCAAGTTGCCTTTGCAATGACGATTCACAAGGCTCAAGGTCAAACGATTTCTCACGTGGGCGTCTACCTTCCAGAACCCGTCTTCTCGCATGGACAGCTTTACGTCGCCATGTCAAGAGCCCAAGCAAAAGGCAACATTAAGTTTTTGGTCGCCAATGGACTGTACGATGGACTGCCTGGAATCTACACGAAAAACATTGTGTATCAAGAAGCATTACAATAGGCAGGACTCCATAAAACTTCATCCATAACTAACAAACGTTATCATGTTCTTACAAATATATACACTGTGTTGTTGTGGAATTGCCGTGACTTCCTGGATCAAGTCCAATTGCATCGTACCGATGAATTGGACGATAAATCCTCGAGATTAGCTAACCCCAAACTACGCACCTTATACTTAGATTCAACGTTACAGTATTACAAGAGGAAGAAGTACGTGGTTGTCAACCAACGATGACCTCGATCTACTCATCGATCGCACAGATTGTGCAATCTGAACTTGGGTATATGATTTATCTCCTGACGAAAAAAAATATTCGTCAGTCAACAGTAGCCAATCAGAATCCTCAGCGTTAACTTATTTTTTTACTTCGAACTGGGCCTGAATCAAATTCAAAATTCATAGTATGGCTTCAAACGTTTCATGTGTGTGAGCAAATCTTTGTTATTTCCAAAGCAAAACGCTCCACCCAGGGGCGTAGCCCTGGCCTCACCCTAGTCATGTCATAATGTCGTCAATTTTGGTCATTGGGCAGGGGGTCCCTTGTAACAAATAGTAAGGCATGTTTGAAAGTGTAAATCATAAAAACGACGGCTGTGAGATTCGAACTCACGCGGGTTGCCCCAACAGGGTAGTAATCTGTCGCCTTAACCACTCGGCCAAGCTGTCGCTTATGACATATCATGTCATAATGTCGTTAATTTTGGTCATTGGGCAGGGGGTCCCTTGTAACAAATAGTAAGGCATGTTTGAAAGTGTAAATCATAAAAACGACGGCTGTGAGATTCGAACTCACGCGGGTTGCCCCAACAGGGTAGTAATCTGTCGCCTTAACCACTCGGCCAAGCTGTCGCTTATGACATATCATGTCATAATGTCGTCAATTTTGGTCATTGGGCAGGGGGTCCCTTGTAACAAATAGTAAGGCATGTTTGAAAGTGTAAATCATAAAAACGACGGCTGTGAGATTCGAACTCACGCGGGTTGCCCCAACAGGGTAGTAATCTGTCGCCTTAACCACTCGGCCAAGCTGTCGCTTATGACATATCGAAAGTTCAACATTATCAGTCATTTACAACTCATAAGATTTTGAGATGAACACAACAAACAAGAATCACATCCAGAGATGCCACTGATGTCTGACGCCTTGCGTGCCAAGTGGAATTGAAAACATCTGGTGTCGCGAAAAGGCCGCTCCACCACTTTCGTACATCGCTTAGCCATCTAACTATTAAACCAGTCGCAGGACGAGCAATGAAGTGTAACGGTGTGCCAGACTAAAACAGACTTAATGGGGATCTCCTTAATATAGCGAGAAATATGGTTATTGAGTGTAAAAATGTCAGCTGTGGGATTTGAACCCACGCGTACGAATACATCACGACCTGAACGTGACCCCTTAGACCACTCGGGCAAACTGACAAGACGTACCGCACTACGCGCTTTAAATTATAAAAGTTATGCAAAAATTCACTTTTACACTTGCTCGTTATTACACTGCAGGAAGTTTGAAACAGCAACTACAACCAATATAAACTTGGAAGAAACTCGCCCAATCACTACTATTTTTGCCTATGCATTTACCATACTCAAATAATTCGTCATAAATTATAAATCACCGAATACACTCTTTACGAATAAACATCATATTGAGAAATGGCCCATGGACTCGCAAGTTTACTCGGAACAGGAAACAAGTAGACGATAGTCACTTCTTGAGATTCGATTAACCATAGTTGTAGAGACATCAAGCAACAAAGTACGCGCTGAGAGTAGATGGATGGTTCGTAGAGTTAGAAATAACCGGACACCACCTGCTGCCAGAGACAAATTGTCGGGCGATATCTATTTCCCCGTGCCGTTTTAAATCCGAATGTACCGTTTACATTGAAGTACTTGCGCTCAGTTCTCACGCCTTATACCCGGGGATGCGAAAGTAGTTATATCAACGAGAGGTGAAATTGTTCACTCCAAGACACTGTTGCTGGGAGAATCACGATCGTTGAGACGCAGTTAACTATGACATATCTGCAGGGTCTTGCATATATTTTCCTGTGAAGCTCAAGTTTTATTGATTCGACTGGAGTTTATTGGAGCAGGAATCGCGTTTGACTCTAGGATACTTTAGCTGAGCATGCATACAAGATAATTAACCACCTTTATTTCCACGGTTGCAATAAACAAGTGTAAAGCAGTAAGTTAGCATCGCAGACTTAGTGGTGATATTTATTCAGATGATCAGAGTGCTCCTTTCAAATGTGAATGGATCTGCATTGCTTCTGAATGCACATCACAAAGTCGCCTCCGCTTGCCATAGATTTTACGTCTCAATGTAGGCTTTGTACGGTTCTATTTGATTCAATGCCTTTGTCCAAGTTTCATAAACCATATATTCCAATTCTTTTCTTCATCGCCATTTATCATCCCGAACAATATAAAACCAGATTGTATAAAATCCAACATCTATCGACTAGCTTTACCAACTACGGAATCCTCTTCGACGGTCAGAATATGGGTGTGCTAACCGTTATAAAGCCATATTTATTAGTAATACACGACACACCTTTGCGTGACAAGTATTCAACATGCCCGCGACATCACTGCCAAAAACAGTAGTGTTGTCCCTAATCTTCTGACCACGTCTCAAACTTCGAGTGAGATGAGCGACTTTTTTACTGGTCGTTTTAGATTGCAAGATAGCTACCCTGGTTTCTTCGGATAAAAAGACAGCTTGGCGGTTGCAAGAAACTTAAACTACCACAGACTCGAAGAAAGGTCACCAAGTCACCTAAGTCAGCGCAAATCAAAATCAAATGCATTGAACACTATTGCGATCAATTTCTCTAATGACCAGTTGTTCAATCTAAGAGTTAAGAATATTGTGTCTTTTTTTTTGGGAATTCTTATACGTCAGAGCTACTGATATTCAGCTCATTTGCAGAGATGAATACCATTTCTCCTTTCTCTGGAGCAGGCTCCCTTCTTTCTATCATACTCTAACCTTCTCGAATCGTCTCCTTTTTCAATTATAAGGGTGGCGCGCTGAACCTCCCAGTGTAGTAAAATAAGAACGATTAGTGATGACTGAAATCACAATAATGTGTTCAATTTCAGAAACCATGGCGCATTGTATTACAGCAAAAATAGACTCTCGATATAAAATCGATGATGCTCTACATTGTACGCGCGAAATAATCGACATAAATATTTATTATCTATTAATGACATCTTTTAAAGTAAAACACGACACAACTTTGCGTGACAAGTACTTTCGCATGCCTGCCCAGATATAAGGCGTGAGAATTGAGCGCAAGTAGTGTTGCCGTTTTGTTAAAAACTTTTTAACATCAATATGTGAAAAAGATTTAATAAGAATATGAAAAAATTGTGAAAAACGTTTTTAACATTGGTAAGAAGTCCTTACGGATAAGACAGTGTGGTACAAAAATGAAGTCAACATGATTGCCATTTCTCCTGCGCAGAGTGCATCAAGGGGCCAAATATCTACACATGCACGATATACAATAAACAAAGACCATCTAAACGCTCCGAAATCAAGCACTGGGAGGCCGCAAAGTGCCTCGTAATTAAACCCTCTCCATATCTTTCTCAACGACAGAATACATATCCTGGACTATCCTATCCTGTTCTCTCTCTGATGCTTTGGAACATGTCTGGCTCAATCTCGTCGATCAGAGTAAGAGCTGCTGCTGTGTCTTAAGTCACCGGTCAGTCTTTCCGGATAAGTGTTTTTTACAATTGTTAATAAAATTTGTGAAAAAGCATGAGAAATGTAAAAAACATTTTTGACTGTTGTTTAACAGGTTAAGCGGCAACACTACACACAAGTACTTCAATGTAAACGGTACATTCGGATTTAAAACGGCACGGGGAAATAGATATCGCCCGACAATTTGTCTCTGGCAGCAGGTGGTGTCCGGTTATTTCTAACTCTACGAACCATCCATCTACTCTCAGCGCGTACTTTGTTGCTTGATGTCTCTACAACTATGGTTAATCGAATCTCAAGAAGTGACTATCGTCTACTTGTTTCCTGTTCCGAGTAAACTTGCGAGTCCATGGGCCATTTCTCAATATGATGTTTATTCGTAAAGAGTGTATTCGGTGATTTATAATTTATGACGAATTATTTGAGTATGGTAAATGCATAGGCAAAAATAGTAGTGATTGGGCGAGTTTCTTCCAAGTTTATATTGGTTGTAGTTGCTGTTTCAAACTTCCTGCAGTGTAATAACGAGCAAGTGTAAAAGTGAATTTTTGCATAACTTTTATAATTTAAAGCGCGTAGTGCGGTACGTCTTGTCAGTTTGCCCGAGTGGTCTAAGGGGTCACGTTCAGGTCGTGATGTATTCGTACGCGTGGGTTCAAATCCCACAGCTGACATTTTTACACTCAATAACCATATTTCTCGCTATATTAAGGAGATCCCCATTAAGTCTGTTTTAGTCTGGCACACCGTTACACTTCATTGCTCGTCCTGCGACTGGTTTAATAGTTAGATGGCTAAGCGATGTACGAAAGTGGTGGAGCGGCCTTTTCGCGACACCAGATGTTTTCAATTCCACTTGGCACGCAAGGCGTCAGACATCAGTGGCATCTCTGGATGTGATTCTTGTTTGTTGTGTTCATCTCAAAATCTTATGAGTTGTAAATGACTGATAATGTTGAACTTTCGATATGTCATAAGCGACAGCTTGGCCGAGTGGTTAAGGCGACAGATTACTACCCTGTTGGGGCAACCCGCGTGAGTTCGAATCTCACAGCCGTCGTTTTTATGATTTACACATTCAAACATGCCTTACTATTTGTTACAAGGGACCCCCTGCCCAATGACCAAAATCGACGACTCTTCACGTTTTAACGATGTCATGCGTTTGCAACATTGATTTCTCATTCCAAAAGTCCATTCATGTGTATTGAGTCATTCGGGATACACCCATTTAATGTTTCACTGAGATTATTGTTTGGGCTGTGACAACATCCATGTACTGTTTCACTGAGTCAATTGTCTGGGCTGTGATAAGGGTAAAACTGCAATTTATTCTCCACGTGGAGCGTACCATGGTTAAAAAGATTGAATATATCGATTTAAAACTCGACGGCTGTGAGATTCGAACTGCCCAACAGGGTAGTAATCTGTCGCCTTAACCACTCGGCCAAGCTGTCGCTGTTATAGATGTTATAAATCAGTCACTTACATCGTACATCGTTTTCTCATGCTACATTTCCCAACTCCACCTTATCACACTAAAGTTTCGGTGGATTTTGCTGGACGGTTGTGAAGCCACATGGAATTGCCTAAAACGGGAGACAATTAACAATTTCATGACTTGTGCAAAGTGCCTGCGAAGCTCGCGGACGACTGACGATAATTTCAGTTGGGAGCAGAGGTGAGATTCCATACTACACCATTTGCTGGTTTAGTTCGTTTAACCTGCGATATATTTCGTATCATTTGCAATATATTTCGTATCACGTGCAATATATTTCGTATGACTTGCATTTAATTTCGTGGCCCGCGACGAAAATCGATTTATATTTCGCATGACTTGCATTATATTTCATACCTCTTGCATTTAATTTCGCATTTTTTAGCTTATATTTCGTATCACGTGCATTTAAATTCGCAGAAAAGAAAAAAAGTACATAAAAAAATTAACAAAAAATTGTTATAGACCTCATAAGAAATTGATGGGTCACTTCAATCGCCATATAAGTCAATGCGAGCATCAAGCAAGCTCAGCAGAGTTCATATGCGCCTGCCCGTCGCGAATTCATAGCTCAAGCCAATACTGCAACACATGTGAAACTTCATATCTCAATAGGACATTCAGTCGATTTTGCACTACTACGAATTTAAATGCACGTGATACGAAATATAAGCTAAAAAATATGAAATTAAATGCAAGAGGTATGAAATATAATGCACGTCATGCGAAATATAAATCGATTTTCGTCGCGGGCCACGAAATTAAATGCAAGTCATACGAAATATATTGCACGTGGTACGAAATATATTGCAAATGATACGAAATATATCGCAAGTTAAACGAACTAAACCGGCAAATGGTGTACTTGTACTGTACAATTCCATTCGATTTGAGCTACCTCCAATCGAACTTACGTTCTATTCGATTCAAATCGAAAACCGTACTATACGAAACTCCCTATGGGAATACCTCTCTCCGTTACCATGAATGGATCGAGGAAGAGCAAAGTGGTTTCACGCACGAGTGTGATCTAAGTTTGGTCACAACGACCTATTTTTCGATTTTCTGCGAGGTAAATGGTGCGAACACGAAGCGTCAAGGAAGGCAAGTACTTCAATATCGACAAGAACAATCTAGAGTGCCGTCTTTGTGAATACAAATACACGTCAAAGTCGTCGAATGTGCATGCCAACATCTTACGGAATCACATGCGAAATATTCCAGTGAGATCATTGCAGCACATAAGCCCGCGAGACCTATGGACAATTTTGTGAAACAGCTTGATAACGCGACCAGCATCGACGTGACCTACAAAACGTCTATCAGTGAAATTAGAGACGTAGTCTCGATGACAAGTGCCCCGCTGTGGGCTTTTGAACAGCCTGGATGTTTAAAGCTTGTGCATCAAATTGAAAAAGCGGCACAAATTAAACTCAACAGGAAGCAAGTACGTCACTACGTTCTTGACGCCGCACAGTCCAAACGGTCATTGACAGATACACCAACTGCTCCCAACACGCTACTGGGCTATCTAATGGCCAAATTATCACCTCAACAAGCACAGCTTCTCGACATGATGATTACTAGATACACCAACTGCTGTCAACAAGCTACAGAGGGCGATGATTGCAAGATCACACAACCTTCACATTGAATTTAACTGTATGATAATTTGGACTTCATGTGCTTCGTATTTATCATTATCTACGTGCTTAGTAGCATGGTAGTAGTGCATAGCACGTTCGTTTGACTATCTAACGACCAAATAAGCATCCCCAATAGCATAGCAGTTGGACAAGATCATTGAAAATTACACTAACTGCTCCCAACGCGCTGCAGGACTATCTAATGGCCAAATAACCATCTCGAATAGCATAGTTGGTGGACATGATGATTACTAGATAAATCAACTGCTATCAATAAGCTACAGAGGGTGATGATTGCAAGATCACACAACCTTCACATTGAATTTAGCTGTGTGATGGTATGTACTTCACGCACTTGGTGTCTTTATAAACGAACTACATAGCGTGTCGGCGGTGCGTAAAACATTCAGTTGACTATCTAATCAGCAAATAAGCATCTCGAATGGCATTGCAGTTGGTCACTATCATTGTTAGATGTAACAACTTCTCCCAACACGCTACTGGGCTATCTACAGGGAACGACTATCCACTTGGCCTACAGAATTACTTCGAATACTCACGAATAGTCGCCTCGGATTGGTCAGTATACTTCGAAATTCGTCTTTTCTTTTGTCCAATTAGATGCAATGTAGGAAATTTTATTCAGGAAAACATATTTTATGACAGTGTATTTAAATTCAGATCAAGTTTGCATTTATTAATGTCGAATTTCATTACAGAGCAGTATACAGAATGAAAGTGGTTCAAATATCAAAGAATTCATTGTTTTGTCAGCTTTGAGTGGATGCCAGCGATACCAAAAAATCCATAGGAAAGTATGTTTCACCTTTGAATTGATTGTATTTTGCCTTGTCTGTTGCGCCAATATAGATGCATACTCAAATATTGAAAAAGTATCTACCCAACCGGAATTGAACCGAGGGCGAATCAACAAATGACTGGTATGATATTTTGGGATTCAAAAATCAGTCTGAGGATACCTCCGGGCATATTGTCTGGTGAATAGGGTAAGCATGCGAAATGTGAGCTGACCTGTTCTTGTAGCACATGTTACTTTACACATGATGTGAGGGGTGAAAGATTAGCATGGGGCCATCCAATTGGATGGCAGGGCGCCCCCACCTTTTTAATATAAAATTTAAATTATATCAATAAAATAACTTGTATTCATTATGAAGAACAAAAATATTGAGCGAAAAAATATTAGACAAAATACCCCCCCTAACCCTGAACCCCCAAACACACAAATTGAATACAAAAAACAAAATAACTTTACTGCTGCAAAACTTTTTCAAAACTGCGGCAAATTTCATCTTCCGTGATGCGTCCCCAGGCCAAAATGGAGCGGTTGATCAGGGCAAGTCTCTTCTTGGCGGCAGTTGGTGACTCAAGATCCTCAGTTTCATCATCTTCGATGTCGTCTTCATCAAGCCAAATGTCCCGCATGTGGCGCTTGAACGGCGCCATTATTCCAACGTCCAAGGGCCGACAGACCGACGTCGAGTTGGGTGGTAAGGCACAGACATGACACCCCATATCGTTGATTGCCTTGTAGGACGACACACTGACATGGGGCTCGAAATTGTCAAGCATCACGACTGAGGACCCTTCGATATCTTGCTCGAGGACGTCAACAAGGTATTGTTTCCAAACGACACCATCCATCTACGCCTTCTCTTGTACTGCGTAGGAATGGCCAACAGGATACGTGGGAATCTCATTCGTCGCGATCCTGCCGCCGGGCTTTCCTCGGATGATGAACATGAGTGGTAGTTTCTTGCCATCGCCGCGTATCGTCAACACCGCAGTCATGCGGTAGGCATTCTTCTCACCAGCAGATATCTTGGCATCGCCACCTCGTATCGACCAAATGATACGAGGTGGCATTTCATAATAAATTCCAGTTTCATCAACATTGTACCTGAAGCAGTCGTCGTACGTTTCATACTGTCGATGGAAGTCGGCCGCAAATTCGTCGCGAATCGACATCAGTACATCTTGCTTGAGCTTCAATTTGCCAGGCCACTGACGAGAAAATCCATGACGATGCGAAAAACGCTGGAGTAGCCGCAGTAGAGACTTGTATCCGTTGGACTTGTCGCTCAAACATGACCGAAGCCACTCCCGGTGGTTCTTCTTGATCCACTTGATTACGTGAGTTCATGTTAGAGCGCGCTCCTTTGCCCGCATGAGTGTCATATATTCTTTTAAGCCATTAGGGTCGGGGAGAATCTCTGCTCTTCCTACAGACTTTAGCTTCTTACGCATTTTGCTGCCCTTGAAGGCTTCTATGGCATCACTGTTGGAAGCCCAATTTCGTATCGTGCGTCGCAGTATGTCCATCTCCTGTGCAACCGCATAGGACGACATTGTCTTCAACAACTCAAGGGCACGACGACGCTCCTCAATCGTGTGTGATGAGTACTTCTTCATGGGATGATTTATGGCATTAAAATTGAGGCAACGTATAATTTAAATTGCTCTTTGGCGCGAATAAAAATCCCGCCAATCGGAGAGCAAAATTTCAATTAATTTTTTTGATTGGTTAAATTTATAGTAGTACCATATCAAAAGTTCGATAGGCCAAGTGGATGGTCGTTCCCTGTAACTGCCAAATTATCATCTCAACTAGCACAGGTTCTGGACACGATCATCGACAAATACACCAACTGCTGCGAACAAGCTATATGGCTATCTAATAGCCAATTAACCATCTCTAATAGCATAACTGGTGGAGCATAGCTGGTGGACATGATCATTGTAAGATTCACCAACTGCTGTCAACAAGCTGCTAAGGGTAATGATTATAAGATCACACAACCTTTAAATCAAATTCAGCTGTAAGATGGTACGGACTTCATACACTCCGTGTTTATCTTTATCTACGAGCTACGTAGCGCGCCAGAAGTGCGTGCACCGTTCACTTGATCTATATGACCAAAACGGCGTCTAAAATAGCATGCTGTCTTCTCAACAAGCCTCTCGACAGGATCACACCAACAACACAATGATAAAAACGATGTAATGGTATGAATTTCAACATTCTTTATTAGTCAAACATGTTAATGCTATCGTCAACCTCAAGTTCCGTGTGAAAACTAACATGTAAGATTGCCAATTTCGTTCGCAATGTCATCAACTGAATCTTCATAGCTTTCAGACATGTCCGTAGTTTCATCCTGGGCGGCACGCTCAATAATAAGGTTGGTTTTCCTAAAACCAGAGATAATCGTTCGAGCCGGCAAGGCATTCCATGCTTCGTTGATCCATTGCACAACTAGGGATCGGCGTGGTGGTTCCATTCGAAATG